AGCTCAGCTGTTGAGATTAGGAGAGCTCGGCTGGGAAGTGCTCAGCGCCAGCTGCTGCTATTTTTGTCTCTTCCAATGCGTCTAGCTGGGAAACAGCGGAAAATAAAGGCTCGGGGATGTACCCAGCAAACAAAAGCATTTGCACCGAGCACCGTGGCTGAGTCGGTTATTATTTAAGGCAGTACGAGGACGCTCACGGTTCACATTAGCTCTTAGACCTGAATAGCACACATCTAGCAAAATGCACAGCCAGCAAAAGTTGGGAAAGCGTATTCATGTTGTGGAGGTATCGCCGTGCTGGTGCAGCGAGCAACGCGACGCTTGTCTGCGGGTAGCAGACATGAGAGTTCAAGAAAGGTTCCTGTCCGGCTTCCAAAATATCACTGTTGCTGAATAGTGAGGAAAAAGCCACATTTCCAGAGTAAATGAAATAGTTTAAAGTCTTGTGTGTTCCTGTTTAGCTGGGAGCCCGGCCAGCTCCCTTGAAGGTCTGCAAGGAAGGCTGCTGAGCAAGGTTTTTTGTGAGCACCAGTGAAAATCCTCTTCAGATACCTCCATTATATCAGGGAGAAGAAATCTGTGTAGCTGCCAAAAGGAAGGAAGGATAGACTATAAATACAAAGAGGTGTTCAGGTCTGCTTTCATGCCCTTGAGTCTGTTGCTCTTTCGTGGGAGTCGGGGGTCTGCACAGAGGGTGCTGTGGTGGCAAATATTATCTGTAGCAGCAAAACCGCAATCGTAGAGCGTTTTGAAAACCTCCAGCCATGCAAGAGCCCCCCAGGCACGACCTTTGCAGGGAATGGAAATTCAGAAAATCAGGAGTTCTTTGCTGTCTTCTCGTAGAAGAACACACAGGAGTAGGCGACTGGGGTGAGTGAGATAGATGCAGTTAATAGAGCATATCCTCAGGCGTGGTAAGGTCCAGCCACCTCACTAGTCTGTGGTGAAAATAAATCCTTCTTGAGGGGATTATTCTACATTCTGGTCAATATTTAGTAACATTTACAGTTTCTGAAGGTCAGCTGGCGTTATATGAGGTCGGCTGTCGCTGGAGTTGCACAGAAATTGCTCACATGGCAGACTATATATAATACACATAGATGATTTATAGTAAATAGAGGCAGAGAAGGAGGAAGGGTAGGAAACATACAGATAGGCCCATTTAACTCTTTTTTTCCATCGAGGTCTGCATTTTGTCTCATCCGTATCCGTTGTCCCGGAAAGTCTGAAAAAGCGTTAAGGTGTAAAACTGTATTTATTTGTACATGGATTATAGCTGAGATAGATAGATAGATAGATAGATAGATAGATAGATACATAGATAGATACATAGATAGATACATAGATACATAGATAGATAGATACATAGATACATAGATACATAGATAGATACATAGATAGATACATAGATAGGTAGTCAGTCAGTCCTGGAGCAGGTTGCAGAAGTTTACACCCCATAAAGCAAAGCGGTGCTTTTGGAGAGTTTGCAGCATTTTCATATAAGCATGGGGAGACCAGGAGAAGCCAGGTGAGATCTAACCAAAAAAAAAAAAGGAAAAAGCAAGAGAGCTTGGTTCTCTTTTCTTTTGGTTGTCCTTCTTCTCCTTCTCCTCTTTTCCATGGTAAGCTGCACGCTTTTCCCTTTCCTGAGGCATCTGGGAGATTTTTCTGGTCCTTTTTTTTAGGAGTTTGAGCTTTCTGCCCGACATCCCTCCCTCCTCCTGAGCTGAGATGCAAAATCCTCCTGGCTTCTGTGGCTCCCTCTGCTATTTTTCTCATGATAATTGAAGGACAGAATGTTCTTAGCACCCCATTCTCATCTGATCAATATTCATACTTCTATTTAAAAAAAATAAACAGACCAGGAGGCTCCTGAATATTTTTTCTTCTACTTTTGAATTGAGGTTGGGTTTAGACGTAGGTGGGGGTTTTTCCTATTAATTATGAGCAGAATATTAAAAATTGCTGTTTGTAAGAATCATAGAAATGACCTAGCTTTACGTCATAAAAACACTCCTTAGAATTACCACGTTTGGCAGGAATACCAAAGCAAGGGGAGGACTCGGGCATGCTGAAGAAGGAGAAGTTTACAGGATTCGTTTTCCAAGTAGACAACCAGGTGATCCAAAATTGGAGCCTTAGCTTTTGCACCTCAGCAGCTTGTCTTGGGGCATCAACAGGTTTAAATGCAAATTAGTCCCTCCCAGACTCTCAAACTCTCCCAGATCCTCTGCCCTTGGGATCCACTTAGGTCTGTGAAAAATGGATCTAAATTCTCCCGTGGCATTAGGGCCAAGTCATGCACCAGCTGATTGTAGCTGCTTGATTATTCTATGTTTCAGCAATTATGACAGTGATACATCATCAAACACCAAATAAAACCCCTGCCTTCTGCTTCCTTGTAGTCATTTCCTTTTATGTACTTATTTGGAAGCTGTGCAAATGTATATATAGGAAAGCAGATTATTGTGTGACCCAGCCATCCCTGAAAAAAACACACCCAGTAATTAAGGAAAGAAATAGCCTTTTTAATGAAAGAGACAAAAATTAGGTAGTTAGAATCCATGGTATTAAAATGGTAATGCCAGAAGGGGACACAATGGGACTCATTCATTGTACTCTTTCTTCCACAATATTGGAATTTATTCATCTGAGCCTCCACCAGATTGTTGTGTTTATTTTTAACACTGATGTCTAGTACAGATAAACATTAGGAATAGAGGAATTTATGTTTCAAGTAAGTTTAGTGTGCTAAATACCTTCTATTTCTTTTCCTTGGTTTTTTGGGGGGTTTTTTTTTTAATGTTTCATGTCCAAATTGACCGAGAAGTGTTCAGATTTGCTTTTTTGGTTCCACTGTTCATTTATTATTTGTCTGTGGGCAGACTAACGTTGAAAAATACAGACTGAGAGAAAAACAAATCTGATCTGTAATATCTTAATAGGGATTTGCACAGACTTCTGTCTGAAATTATTTGCACGGCAGCTGATTGTGCTTGTCCATCATCAGATGGACAGGTCTGATGGGTAACCACAGAGTCTGGATTAGCATCAAAACCAAGAGGGATAGATTCTCCAGAAGCATATGTCTAGTGATATTAAGCCTTTTTTGCTTAATATCACTGTTGTCGTTGTGGAGGTTTCTCTGTTTTCCAAGTTTTGGTAAATTCTGCTCAGATTTTATCCAAACTTTTATCATGTATTGCCTATATGCCACCTCGCTCCTTTCCTCTGAAGCAGGCTGGTGTGATTTAGATGGGATAATATAAATAATTTATTCAAACAGTCTAACTAAATTCCGTATGCCATTTGTTCAAAGTGAAAAAAAAAGAAACCACAGCCAACCAAACAAACAAACAAACTCTAACCCCGAACAAAAAAACGTTTTTATCGTTTTCAGTCTGCCATAAATGCACAATTCCCTTCTGCTTTGAGCTGCGGTCAAACCCCATCGGGGAGGCAGTGCTGGGTTGCACCAGTTCAATAAATAACTGGGCAGCTCTACTGCAGAGATGAGGAAAAATATTTTTCTTTATTTTATGTGGATTGTTTAAGTCTTTGTACCCTGTCTCCCTGAAGATTAAATGGCAAACGTGGGCTTCACGCAAAGATAATAATTACAAGTGTCAGTGTGAAATATAGAATAGTGCCTTTGGAAAAAAATAAAAAGAGCTTGAAAATGATTGTGGCTGTGGGGAAAATGAGAAGCCACAAATCTGGGGACCAAAACCCCAAGTGGTTTTAAAACAGAGAAATACTTGCATGCATATATACATATTGAAAAAATTGTTGATTAAAAGCTTTATCCATAGATGACTGGACACTAATTTATGAGGGTTTATTTCTGGCTGAGAAATCAGCCTTTTGGGGGTTGATTTTCTTAAGCCGTATGTGTCTCTGTGGGCATCAGAGCACCAGTTTGATCTCTGGCAAAGACGGGGTGCTGGGGATATCCTCCCTCCTTGCATTTTCCCCGCAACCTGAACCGTTACGTGAGCAGAGCAGATGTGGAGGAACCTGTTGGAGGGTATGGTGTGCAGCCTGGGAAAAGTGGGGAGGTGCCACGTCTCCTATTAGCCCATGTTTCTGATTTCAAGAAAATATAAAAATAGCTATTTTGTTAAACAACTTACGACTGCGCGAATGTTGTCTCCTGGCCCAAGAAGCACGTTTGGTTTCTGATGGGGCTTGGTAACAGATGCGCCACCCGGCTGCTGCCTGAAGTCAAATTCCTACAAGAAAACCAAAGCAGAAGTCGCCAAACGGCACCTTTTACTCTAACGGGGGGAAAAGCACGTAACTGGCAAAATTATTGCGAGCAGCTGCCGGGGGAATTTAGGAAAGCAAGAAGCCTGGTAGGGCAATGACGAGGTTCCTTTCTCGTTTAGTGGTGGCTAAAAGGGGGTGGCTGCGATGGAAAGGATGCCTGCCCTCCAGCTGTCTTTTGGGATGGGTACCAGTCCCTCAGAGCTGCTGGGGATGCCTCAGGGTTCAGAAGTTACCAGGGTTACGCTGGCAAGCAAGCAAACAGCCGCCTTCAACCTCGTCTCGGGAAATCAGGCTAAAAATAGGTCGCTAAGGCTGAAGGTTAAAAGTAAAGGCGTGACCAAGCAGCACTGTTGAAAAGCCAGCTCTGCTCATCCTCTGCAAACATCCAAGGACTGCATTTCCCTGCCAGGGCTAGAGCATCTGTTACTATCTGTAGGAAAAGGCTTTGTGAAAATTTTACATTAGCTAGCAACGGCTTCTTGACCTGAGAGTAACGCTGGCGGTTGGGCTTTCCCTAAAGCACGTGGAGGTCTAGAAGTGGCTTTTCAGTTTAGCCAGATATTTAGAAATTCGGTTCATACTGAAATGAAGCCAATGACTCAAGAGCTGAGGGGAATTATTTGAAGGTAGGGTGGTGGGGTTACTGCATCCCCACGCTGCTGGACTGTCACAGCTCGCAGGGAGGGGATGCATCTCCCTCTAACCAGTGCGTTCTGCCTGCTTTACCCAAGGTGCAGCTGAAAAGTGAGGAGTCGAAGACGTTCGCCATGAAAATACTGAAGAAGCGGCACATCGTGGACACGCGGCAGCAGGAGCACATCCGCTCGGAGAAGCAGATCATGCAGAGCGCTCACTCGGACTTCATCGTGAGGTACCGTCCCCGTGCCGTGCGCGTTGCCCCGGGGGAGCGAAGCGCAGCCCACCTCACCGTTTCACAGGAGTAACCCACTTGCTGCTGATAAATCTGCCCTGCAAGGGACTGCAGATGCGGTGCAAAGAATAATGTCTTCTCCAGGCCAACGTGAGGTTACTTTACCCATGGGGGACACCTGTGCAAGCCTCAGCTTGCACCACACCTTTGTCCCCGTGCTGTGCTCACGTGGCTTTGTGGCTCCACGTCCAGCCCATAGCTGGGGCAGAGCTTGCCCATGCTGGTGGGCGATGCTCCAAGCAGATACACGCAGTGCAACTCGCCATCCCCCCCTGCTCAAGGTTGATATTCCTCTTTTTTCTTTTTTTTTTTCTGAATTTCTGCATTTTCCTTCTTGCAAATGGAAGCTGGAAGGCAGGGTTAAATTACTGAGGCCGTGTGCTGTCACATGTGTGAACAGCTGTATCCAGTGCTTCTCTCCAGGGTGGTGAAACGCTGGCACAGGTTGCCCAGAGAAGCTGTGAAAGCCTCCCTGGAAGGGTTCAAGGCCAGGTTGGGCGGAGCTTTGAGCAACCTGGGCTGGTGGAAGGTGTCCCCACCCAGGGGGGTTGGAACTAGATGATTAAGGTCCCTTCCAATCTAAACCAATCTGATTCTTTAGCCTACACGAGGTAAATCTAGTTTAGCATCCCTTGACTCGTCATGGGCTAAACCCACAGCCATCCCCAAAACCTAAGGAGATGCATTTCTTCCATGAATAAAATCGGGTGCCAGGTATTTTGGTTTATTTTAACCCTAACAGCCAAGTTCTCTGACTGCTCAAGGACTGGGAGTATCTCTCGGCAGAAAGCAGAGAAGGCTGTTGGTACGAGGTGAGAGCAGCGGGTGGTGAGGAGCTCTGGCAGGATGGTGGCATTCCGCTGAGCTGGAGGTATCTAAAAGGGCAGCCTCTCCTCTAAGGCCATCACTGAGGGGGTGCTTCCTTCCCAGGCAGACCCTCGGGATTCCCCGTGGTTGATTCATGGGGGACAACTGCAGCCCCACACCCTGCCTAGCTGCCAGTTCCTTCACGCCGACGGACAAACACACCCCCGTTCCCTAGGATAGAGTTTAATATACCTCATGGGCTTATTTCAGCCGATAGATCTATTTTCTGAAGGCTGAGCTATCTCGGGGATGGGGATGGAAAGGGCGGGGCGAGGTGTGGGGCTGGCCGAGCAGAGGCATATTATGACACCCTTTCCAAAAATACCCCCTCCTAAATACAGCACTTGAACCTGCAAGCGTTTCTTACTGGAGCCACTGATATTCATAGCTAATAAAAGAAATACTTCTTCGTTACCCACTTCAGGCAAGTGAAAAAAAAAAAAAAGAAAAAAAAGACAAGTTAGTCGTCAGCCTTTTCCTTCCATGTCCTGCAATAATTCCCATGCTTTACAGTAACGAGTCTCCCATAACTATTTTCTAATACCCCCTGGAAATGCTGCACTGGGGAGGGACTTTCTAAGTTGTGAAGTCCAACCTTTTGCTATTGCATGTCCCGCAGACTAGAAAATCCCTGATTTATCAAACTCTCTGTCTGTTTTTCCCCCTCACTTTTGCACATCCACAAGGATTTGAAGTTGTTCTGGAGTTTCTATCCTAAAATTATTCATAACCTGTTTATGCCCTTTCTTGGGCCACCTGTAATATTTTTTCTGGGTGCTACAGGCAGAAATCTCATCGCTTCAGTAGATTAATTGTTTTCTGGGATGCTGGGTGAAAGGTGGATTTAAAATGATCTTGGAGCAAGGACAAAACCTCTGGGGTATCAGAATGGGAAAGACAAAATTCCCAAAGAACTCCATTCTTTTCTTAATTCATCATGAAAACATTCATTAAAAATCATTGAGGAATAGTTCAGTTTGGTCATTAAAATGCATTAAACCGGGCAAAGAAGCAGAAGAGGCCAAGTACCTCTAAATGAAATTTACTCGTAGATAAATGGAAGAATCTCACAGAACAGGGAACGCTCTGGGTTAGCTAAAGCGCCAAACAAGTGTTGAGCAGTGAATGTCTGCACTGGATCTGCAAATATTTAAATGAATAACAAAGAAAAAACTAATTCAAATATTGCAACAGTTCAAATTTAGGGCTGCTTGATCTACTGAAATAATGTGGCTTCCTCATGTATAATCTTCATGGTTCCCTTACAGTTGATAAACAGTATTTGATTATTTTTGTTTTGCATGTTTTAGGCCAGATTTGATGCCCATAAAATTTTCTGAAAAGCAGCTTTTCAGCAGGGCTACCTTAACTGGAGAAAATAATGCCTCATTTCAGTAGCATTGAAAATTATTAGTTTTTTTGTATTTCGGATTCTTGACTGGGTAGGTTTTCTGTAAACCTTGATGTAGAGACAGTATTTATTGAGATAAGTTATATTTTTTCCAAATTGTCTTTGTCGTGACTGCAAATAGAGCCTTTTAGCTACAGAGGTAAATCTACCAAACCACCAGTTTTAATTTGTATCATGTTGTGTCAGCCCTTTAGTTTTTAACTCTTGGGAACTCCCAGGAATGCAGCAATTGCACCATAACCAAATATCTCTCAGCATCTCCTGCTCTGCCGAAGCTCGGATTCGTAAAATTTATTTCTAAACAGTGTAGAGAAACCTTTCCAGTGTCCCTGTGCGCATCCGGCTCATTCTGAGCTGATATTCCTTTTTTTTTTTTTTTTTTTCTGATTTTCACAGTTTTATAGTTCCATTTGTTTACCATATTGTATTAAACTCAGAGCGTGGATTTTACCACGCAATTTAGACGGCACTTGTGGAAGATGGGTTCAGAAAGCCCATCCTGTCTATCCCTTCAGGAAATTTTTCCTCCATGTTCAGTCCCTGGGATTAAGAAGAAGAGCGCTTTTAGATCCTTGCATGTCAGTGGGTTCTCCTTGAGCTCTACCAAGTCAGTGGCTTTATGCTGTGAAGGAGATCGGAAATTGGGAGGCTCTCCTTTGAAATGATTGAATGGAAGGAAGACTGCTGATCTGCAGCCGGACTCTGCAGCGTGAAGAGTAAGACAGAATTGTAGAATCATGGAAGTGTTTAGGTTGGAAAAGACCTGAAAGATCATTGGGTCCAACTGCTAACCAGGTCCACTGCTAAAATGGTGATTTGGGCGTTAGAAAAAAATGGTAGAACTTGTCTCTGAAGCCCATCTGGAAAGGCAAGTGGCAGGTCATGCCATTAGAAATGGCAGATTTTTTGTGTAGCGCGCAGAGCAGTGGTGCCCTCTTCTTC